TATACCCCAGTGCTACAACAAATAACAATAAATGACATTTATTGAAGAGAATTGGTTGTTGTCATCTATGGATAATCAGTGGTATACCCCAGTGCTACAACAAATAACAATAAATGACATTTATTGAAGAGAACTGGTTGTTGTCATCTATGGATAGTCAGTGGTTCATGGGAAGTGACGTATTGTTTGGGATACGGTGGACCGGGAACACCGCACGGATATACACCGAAGTATTGGAACGTATATTCCACCGCTGAAGCATGCAATGACCGGTGCATATTATTCCACGTGGCCTCGACACATATAATATCCCGGGGAGCGTACACACTGGCTGTAGACTCAAGCAAATTCCCATCGCATGATGGTCTTTGAACAGATGTAGGTCCGGAGGGGCAAATATGTATATTCGCACTTGCGTCTTGTCCGTGCATGGCAAACAATAACATGTACACCGTCTAATGTCTTATTTGTCACAGTTAGAATCCTACCCATGTCCGAGCACATGCAAGGCCAAGAGAGAGGTGCAGGCGCGTGTCTATGTAAGAATAATAACGTTAGAGGACAGATGTGCAGATTTGTAATCTATGTCAGACAATGCACGCCGTTAGAGCTTCACTTTAACTCCAAACTCCACGACAGATGGCGCTCTCTCTCTGGCTCAATCCTGAGTACGAAGGGGGCACTGAATGCAGTTGGCTTTAACTCATGATAATTATGTCGTCTCTTTATCGCTTACTCAGAATCGCGGATTTCCCCAAATTAGCACCCACACACGATTTATAGACTTCACTGCATCTCTCTTATTGTCTGTAACATGTATTGGTATAGCCATTAAACCGGTAAAAATATATACGTTTATAAAAAACATCGAGTAAATAGGAATTATAGCAATTAACACCACAAGCAATGTCTATGCGAATGAGTTTTTAAGTAGTAAGATAATGTTGACACGCGTCTGCGGTCGCAGTAAATAACTACCGCTGAAATAGGTAACATGTACCTGGAGTATACTGGACGTGGGAGACTGATTGCAGGAACGCCCACATTTCATTCATCATAAACAGTGTATGCATGTGTAGCTAAAACTGTCTAATACGGTAGAGGTACGTTGCACGTATCAAAGATGGTCCGTCCGACGTGTTGGCAGTTGGTTGCATATTTACTACGCAATTTTTATTCACGTCGATTGAGTACGACACTTTTTGAGTAGAAAACCGTCATTCATTCTTTTGGAAGATTACGCGAGAGCGAATTTTTGGTTCGTATCCCGAGTAATTAACGTACGTGGCCATAATAATTATACAAATTACGTATGTAACACCATTGGAAATACTTTTGAATTCTTGGAAATGAGAATTTCTGCTAATGTTTCGCAATTTTATGTTAAATGTGGCACCAAAGCTTAAAAATCGGCTAAAGATGAGGTAATCTAACTATAAATTGGCGCCCATTTCTTCTGCTGCTACAGATGTTTATGTTTCGGTGTAAAGTTGGAGACTTCAAATTGCACAACGTGTAAATACTCTTTACAAAAATCAGGGTGAACATCATAAATATATACAACTTGCAGAATTTATTCCAAAGAAGCTCTTTTATTTACAATTTGTTGCTGTCGAGTGAAATACAAAGTTTGGTAAATGTTTTTCATGCCAAGAAAATGCAGTTATAAATAAAATATAGCATTTTACATCAGACTACTCCAACAAAACATCAGATCTGCGTAGCTTCTAGCAACAAAGGTGAAATTCTGAAACGAATGCATGTCACAAATACACTCCATGTATCTATTAAGGCCTAGCAAGAAGTGGCCAGCCATCGATCACAAACTGCTATTAATTATACGTCAACCAAAACGTTGAAACATTGCAACTATTACGTTATTATGTAGGGCTGCATAATAGCAGCCCGCTGGATAACAGCGAAGCTGACTGCTAAATACCGGCTCAAACTCCGCGTATGTAAAACTACGAACCCGGTTTTTTATGCGGGCTGAATATAGCAGCCCTGATAACAGCGAGCGAACTGCTAACATCCCGGCTTCCAAACTCCCGCGTATGTAAAGCTACGTAACCGGTTTTATGCGGGCTGGCAATAATAGCAGCCCTGATAACAGCGAGCGACTGCTGAACTACCGGCTCAAACTCTTCGTATGTAAATCTACGAACCGGTTTATATGGCCGCGGCTGCAATATAGCAAGCCCTGGATAACAAGGGCGAGCGACTGCTAACTTTCGGCTCAAACTCCGGTTTTTATGATGGTGCTATATATAACTGCCCTCCATAACGACACACTACGAAAGACATTTGTTTCTGGCTTAAGCGTCTTATTACGATTGTCTACACAAAGAATTTGTCTCCGGCTTAAGGCGTTCTTGATAGTTGGCATCGTTCCTACACGAGAAAATTTTGTCTCAGGCTTAAGGTCTATACAGAGGTCTTGAACTCGAGCTTAACGCCGAGTTAAGATTCTCGTGTAGGCGGAGCGACGCGAAATCGTAACCATCGAGTTTAACGGTAGTCGATACCGCAGTGAACACGCTACCCGCGCTGAGCGTTACGCGGGGCAGGCGCTCCTAGCTAGCCGTTAGCTTAACTCGGGTCAAGACAAAACTCCTGTGTAGACGAGGCTTTCCTATCATATATTTCGTACCATGTCAAAGTGTGTCCCAGTTTTGTACAAATTGCTGGTGACTTTATCATATTGTGCAAAGTGTGGATGTCCGTTTTCTGTTGGTCCATTCCATAATATTAGACAGTTTTGATCTGACTATTTTGCCTTGCCGCTTCCTTGGCTTCGATGATAGTATTTTCTTCATCCAGCTAAATCAAATTGTTTAATTATATGCAGTATATACGATCACTAGATGCAACTAGAATATATTTTTTTGCAGAGATAATGCTAGAAGTAACGTATGCTGTACGTGTGTCACTGTTGCATATCAAACAGAGCATTTACAAATAAAAATGGCCAGCGCGTAGCGTAAGCGAGTTTTTCTTTTGTTGTGCTAAACAAGTTTGGTATCTTAAACATTGCTGTGGCGTTCCGCTGCTGAACGTACGTCGTCTATATGCGTGGATACGCTATTTAAACGCGCGTTCACGCAATACAAATAATATTAGGGTACACCAGTCTGAGGCTACCAGCACACATATGATACTAGGTTAGCCCAATTTAGCCTTAAGAGATAGTAAATTGAATACACGATGGTCGGGATTAAAGTTATCAATAACATTAGAGAATGTGTTTTTTCTATAGCTACTCATGTAAAAAAGAATAAACGTACCAATAAATATCATATAAACACATATTTATATGATGATCTATGTAAACGTACACGGTGAGGTGACCGCTGCGTTACGCCAGAAATGCTTCGATAATTGTATTAAACTAGCGCGCGCCAATTTTTTCGCCGAGTGTGTATACACGCTATCAGCTCTCTCTATGCCTTACGTCTGTACGCTACGTGTTGGCGCGCGCCAGTTACATAAAACATTAATATTACCAAATAATTTTGCCAGTGCAGAGTGTTGATAGGTAGTGTTCTTAATTGCAATGACTCAGTTCTACATTGAGATTGAGTAGGTGCAACAGTTTTAGTGCAGCAGTGAATATACTATTTACTGTTTGCACGTTTTGACTCAAAAGCAAATCTGCTTTTAAATGTATATACCCAATCCCACGTATACTTTCAGTAGATCTACATGTACCGGTATTCTAGCAATGAGGGTGCGAAGTGAGCGACAGGTCCACTAGTCAAGTTTATATTTACTTACTCTACTTGAAGCTTGTGTTGAGCTATTACTTTACCAATTGCTTGTCTCTGGTGCGTTGTGGCAGATGCTTGATAGTCAACCTTCAACTGCACACAGGTATAGCATACAGCAAAAGTTGATGGCTGAAATAATAGACAGTGAAAAAAATATATGTAGATTGTAGATTAATCACATTGAATACCGTAACACAAAGCTATCATCATACCATAAACTTTGCCCATAATTTGGTATCAGCTTTAGATCAGCTTAGAAAGACTACAAAGTTTTGATTACCTTGCCAATCTTATACCGGGGAAAGTCTTTTTTCCATATCTCTATCATATATTCATATGAGATGTGGTCCTTGATATCTTCTGTTCCATCTCATCTTTGTACTGCTTCCACAAGCTCAGTTTTGTATAGCAGTAGGGCAGATAAATAGTATCATCATTTGGCATGTAATCACCCATCCTTTTAAAAGTTTCTGCCATCCACGCATTTGCTTCTGTTGTTTTCCTTCTGCATTTTCCTTGCCAACATTTCCATGAATTACGGTGACTAGTGGTGTGTCATTTTTTACCCTCCTCAAGCAGTCATCGTATCTGTGTCTAGACACGTTTAAGATTTCGCAAAAAGCATGCGAACATAGTTTCTTGGCACACAGACAGAGTTGTGTGTTAGAACCGGCTTGTCTAATTTCCAGTCATATGCTGCATTTGAGCAATCCTTTATAACAGTCACCAAGTGCTGTAACTGAGCTGCTTCATTTTTTCCATAAAATTTTGCTCTAAGCTAGCTATCTCGTTTGTGGTGAATTTCTGCAAGCAGTTGTGCAGAAACATTTAAAAGACATCACTGCCAATGGGTTTCGTAAGGGTTGATTCATGCGCCGCTTCTTAGGGTGTTTCTCTAAACCCACTTCACTGTCACCAGTCTCGGAAATTAGTTCTTCTTCATCACCGATTTCACTGCTAAATCTTGGTTCAATACATTGGCCAATGCCAACGTCACTTTCACTAGTCTCTGAAAAAGCATCTTCATTCATGTTGATGAGTTACGTATTGAAGATTCATAAAATTAAGAGAAAGCTGATAATTATACGCTAGAATAGTCAGCAGTTCTGACCGTTATGTGTTCATGCGCATTCTTGTACGCACCAGTTACAATAATGGCTATAACCAGTAAATAACCATGCAGTTCTAGATCTATTGTTTGACGGCCAGTTTCGCCCCGCTATTTACGGGTTTTATGTAGCATCACAGGCACAATCTATTCAGTCAAGTTTTGAAAGCATTGTTTAAACAGCGATCATTACCAGGCTGCTGACGCAGCCGATTCGGGTCATTCTCGCACCTGCAACAACGACTAGTGTAACGGGATTGCCGATGTGCTTTGTTTTTCTAAGTGGGTTGAATAGATCAAACAATGTCCGCATTAATCGTTCGTTTTGAGACGAGCAAATTATCAAACAACATCGGCAATTCTCTGTAGTTCTTTGCGGGGTGAAAGATGAACAATGGTTCAAACGAAATCGGCTGCATTATGATCCTTCTGCATAAGTAAAAATTGAATGGAAGTTACTCAGGCGTATATCACACCTAACAGGTGCGTTTTGCTAGGTAAAAATTGCTAAGATGCGTGATCTGCATAAAAGGTTAGCCTGGAGATTGATCACAAACATTCAAAATGACGCAGCCAAAGAAGTGGTACATCGAAGAGGAGGAACGCACAGGGAAACTGTTCGTATGGCTACAGCACGCAGAAGATAACGGTAAACGTGTTTACAAGCGAATTGCCAACAGAGGGAGGAAAGGAGGAATAGAAGTCAGTGCCATCTCTCAAGTTACTGATCTCGGAGGACAGTTAGTGAGGGTAAGTTTATTTTAATAACTATTTGCAGCAGTTGCTTGTTGACGTGTTTAATTTTCTAAGGATCTAAAGCTGGGTTTGCACTAGCTATCACTTGTGTGTGTATGCGTGTGTGTGTGTGTGTGCGTGTGTGTGTTGTGTGTGGGTGTGTGCGTGTGTGTGTGTGTGTGTGTGTGTGTGTGTGTGTGCGAGTGAGTGTGTGTGTGTGCGTGCGTGCGTGTGTGTGTCGTAGTGAGTGTGTGTGTGTGCGTGTGTGTGCGTGCGTGCCGTGCGCGTGCGTGCGTGCGTGCATGCTTACGTACATGTGCGGGCCGGCGTCAATGTAATAAAGCGGAATTGTTATCTATAGTGCGCACGCGTGGGTATGTGTGCATCCACTGGCACTGGCACACGCGAACGTGCACCCAAACGCGCACGCACGCACGCACACATGCACGGAGCGGCACGCAGGCACGCACGACCACACACAGGCACGCACGCTGGCACAAAGCGCAGGCACGCACGTACATACACACACACACACACACACACACACAGAAATTTTATGTAAAAAATTCTGTTCATCGAGAGCGTAGAGAGACATGTCTCTTATGTAATGAATATTAGATTGAATTTGATGAGCAGTTATGTTGCAATGCCGTTTACAGTGTTACCCGTCCGTAACCCTAACAGTATCCTTAATTATTGTCCTGTTTAATTGGCGATGGGTCCCTAGACACGAGCGCCCGTGGGATTGCCGTCTTTTGTAAACTGCTTATAATGCAACCCAACTAAACTACGTTTAGGATTTACTTCAGCTACAAATATACAATGTATCTTGATTCAATATGCAGATAAATGATACCAGTCACAATATAATTATAATTATAAGAAGATTATGTAATTATACTGTCTGTGTAGTAGCTCATTATTTCTTTTGTAGTTTACTTTCCAGTCTTCGAATCATTCGCCAAGAACACTTGATGTGGCAAATTTCGTGAAAAACAAGAATGGCCTTTGCCAGCGACTTTCGGCAGACAACTCGAAGGCAGGCTTCCTTGACATCTTGAAACGTGAATTGAACAACCGTGATGAAATAATAGTTCATCAAGAACTGGCTGACTTCGACCAGAATGCTGTTGATGATGAAAATGATGAAGAGAACAATGAGCTCATCACAATACATAGCGAGGAGGCTAACGAGGCATGCCATAGCAGCACCACATGCAACACGGAAGGGAGCCGCATCTTTGATTATTGCGAGGACGGAAGCGTTTCTGTTCTTACATCCCCACAACGGTAAGATTTACTTGACAGGCTTCACAATTATTTCAGCATTGTGGGTCTTGTAATTTACATATATCAGTGGTGGATATAGAGGGGGGTTGGGGCGGGGGTTGAAACCCCCGTTCAGCCACTGATTAATGTTATGATATATGCTAGTAAAATGGAGCCAAAAATAAAAAGTCACTCTGTTGGGGTGATAGAAACTGCATGGGGACTTAACACATATAACACATTGTGCGAATTTACGTGACTAGGGTTGTCTGAACGCGGGGTATTACTGTATTACAATGTACTTGTTGGGAATCCAGGTGAGTAAGGGAGATTCACTGTTTTTCTTCTTTGCTTGGCTAAGCAAAACTGGTGTATTGACCAAGGTCATCGCATTATCTTGCAAAGCTTCCGTTCTCGGCGTTTAACATAGATTGCCGCAAGATGTAAAACAGATCAACTGCAATAACTACTGCAGTACTAAGTACTAAAGTATATTGGCAATATAGATCTGGAAGGGTATGATGAACGCATCATGTCAACGTAGTTTCAAGTATAGCTATATCTGATGTGGAAAGTATGTGTGCGTAGTGTCAATATGGAGTGTTTTTACAATAGATAAAACGTGGCTGTTGTTAATGAACAGGCCTAGTGCAAGTGTAGAAATTCACAATGAGATTTTGTATACTTATATATAGTAGTAAAACACATTTCACACGTTGTTCTTGAAGGATGCAAGCGAACGATAGCTCATGTGAATATGTACAATTTTATAACCATGTCATCTCACAAACAATTAATCACATCTAACCATAACCATAATGAACGCAATTGTATTTTATTTATACACTACAACCCCCGTCCTACCTCTCTCTCTCTCTCTCTCTCTCTCTCTCTCTCACTCGCTCTCTCTAACACAAAACACAATCATGTCGGCAATGCACATGCGTGGTAATACCATCGATGAAATGGCTAACTAGTTCTTCACAGCAGCGCGTATCATGTCGGCAGCCTTCTCAGCGATCATGATGACGGGCGCATGCGTGTTTCCCGCTACGATTTCCGGCATGATGGAGGCATCCACGACCCTCAGTCCTTCTACTCCACGCACCCTGAAACACACGAGCGGGTGGATTATACACTGGCACGAGTCGCATGATTACTACATCGCACATATCATTTCAACTATAAATATTAAACAGGTTAAACGTTAAAACAAACTTACCGCTTGATGGGGGCCAGCTATGAATAAACCTAGATTTAAAGCCTATGTGAACCCTATTATAGAAAGCATAGGCTTTACCTTCTATTCCCGTGCTTCTAATACTAATTGTGCCTGCTAAAATTGAGCGTGCTTCTTAAAGAAGTGACCCCAACTGCTCGGACTGTCCGTAAATGTTTCCTTACTAACCTCAGCTGCGGATCAACAACGGCAGACGGATCGTTGCTGGCACCCATCTTACAGGTTCCCGTCGGATGGTAAATTGTAGCAGCCATGTTGCGTGCAACACACTCTAGGTATTTGTCACCTGTGTATGATCATCATGGCAGATGAAGCATTATAGAGACCCGGCGGATTCTAAGACGTTTCAATTATTCATACTATCTTTCTTTTACTATTGGCGGTAATAACGCGTCGTATTTTGGGAAAGGGAGCAAAGTATCTACCCAGTGCAGTGCTCCCCTTCTAGACAGGCATGTGACAATAATATAAATATAAATGCGTCACCTTTTCTGTGCTGAGTGCATCCTGGAATGGTCCAGGCATGTGGATTCACTTTTGCCCCGATAGCCTTGAATGCCGCCGCCTCTGAAAGTCTCATTGCAATCTTGATTCCTATTAAATTACACATGTGTCTGAGTTAGTTGTATTCCTGCGGCGCGCATTCAGGTCTATGTCCGCGTAAAAAAAACAACTGCGTATCCGGGAACCACACGAAGCTATGATCTCAATGAGAGCTAGCTAATAATAATCACATCTGTTGGTTACCTTCCACCATAGTTTTAACGTCTTGTTCGTTCTCGTAGTAACGTGGATCTATAAGTGGATAATCCAGCGGGTCGATGGTTTTCAGACGAATGTCACCGACACTTTTTGGTTGCAACAAAGTTTGTATCCACGAGAAAAGATGACGATTCACTTGCGTAGAAAATTTCGCATCCTTAATGAACTAATATAATGGGAGAAGACGAATATGCTTACCAATGGTCCACATAAACTTGGTAGTTGATGCAAACGATTCAATCTTACATCTTCTATTGTTGTTAATAACAGGTCTAAATTCACACAGAGAATTATAAAGACATATATATTCAAGTATTTGATCGAAACAAAGTTTGTAATGGCAAAACAACTAAACGCCCAGCCAGGACCATGAACGTATGAACAGTTAAGTGAAGAGTGAAATTGTACAAATAAAAAACCTTTCTGTCGAATCCCAGCCAATTATATGTAAAATCATCATCTATAGATCCGAGACCAAAGACGGACATAAGCAGCTGCATATCAGGGGACACGCCTTTCTTCTCCAAGCCGGCTGTATGAAAGAAACCAATAGCTTCCAGACCGTTGGTTGCCATAGGGGCTGAAACAGCAATGACGTCATGGTGTTGTACTAGCAGCAGTACCAGAGGCAGGAGAATAGATAGAGACCGCTTGTTAGAGTTTTCGAGAAAAGCGCTAAAAGCCGCATAATAATTAGACTACGATTAAAACATATATCCATGGTCTCCAAAGCAGGATTTTATTTTTTCTTTCTGCTATTAGATACGGTAGGTCCTGATTTTGTTAATCACGGGCATGCGTTTAAGCGTGGTAGTTCACGAAGAATAAAAAGAATGTATACATTACCTTTCGCTAGCATATCCCACTTAACTTTGGCCTTAAAGCTTAACAGGTCGTCTTTAATCATTGAAATATTTTTCTCAATTAAAATCTCTGGGTAGAAAAGAGCAACATGGTCCTGTAAGTGTTTTCCTACTGGAAGGTCAGCGACTAGCGGGATCTGTCAACAGTAAAAAATAAACTTCCCATTTTGTCTCATTTGTTACTTTTTCTTACACATTTGTTATTGTTCTCATACCATCCTGTTCTAAAATAATAAACATTATTATTAATTCATTAAGGTATAAAATTATTGTTAGTATGTTCGTCATTAAAATGCATTATAATTGTATAACTTACATTTAACTGGTCGAGTTGCTCTTTTGGACCAACGCCAGACAAGAGGAGAATGTGAGGAGAGCCGATAGCTCCAGCAGAGAGGATCACTTCCCGAGACGCTCTCGTCTGTTTCTTCTCGGCACCATGTATAAACTGCAAGCCTACCGCCCTCTTGCCCTCGAACATCACCTGGTGATTATTAAAATATGCCATAGTACCTCACACGAATTTTGTAAATAAGCAAGGGAATAATATGTTAGGGTGATCCCGCCTTTAATTTAATCATCGATGTTTAAATAATAAACATTATAAAAATATGCAACCGCAGTTTGAAATCAATAAGCTTCTTGAAAGAAAACACAGTTACCTTTGTCACGTGAGCATTTGTTAATACGTGGAGATTCGGTCTGTTCACCGCGGGTTTTAAGAACACCTTGGCAGTGTCTGCGCGCGTGCCACCTCTGATGTTTGCCTGTGTCTTCATAACTCCTATAAAATAACAAAAACATGAACGTGAACATCAATATTAAAATATTTAATTTTTTATAACCACGAAGTAATGATCAAAATTCGCAATCAACCAAAAACAAAATCCCACTTAAAATGAAATACAATAAATATAATGAGGTTTACCGAACGGACTTTCTCCATTCACATCACCAACTCTATATCTCAACGTTGGCAATATGACGTTGGGCCAACGTTGGCTGACTGCCGTTGGGCCAACGTTGGGCCAACGTCGGCCCACAGTTGGGCCAACGTTGGCTGCCAACGTTAGGCCCAACGTTGGCACGCTGAGCAAAAAGACGTTGGATCAACGTTGGCAGCCAACGTTGGTCCAACGTTGGCATGAGCTGAAGACAGCCGTTGGCCCAACGTTGGCCCAACGTCAGCATGTTATCTGGGGTAGGCGACTCCCTAGACTCGTTAGTGGTACTCGTCGAGGTACGGTCCGGCATATTAGATAGTAGTATATTTAGTACCAGGGTACGTTCCCGCAGTACTCTGGGGGACATAGACCCTATCAGCATAACTATTACTAGTAGTATTACTGCTGAAAGGGTCTATGTCCCCCAGGGTACTGCCAGAACGGTACCCTGGGTACGGTCCGGTATACCGGAACGTACCCTGGTATCAGAGCATATAAATCAACGTGATTTATAGGCTCTGCTGGTACTAGGGTCCCTATATACAAAGAGTTGCGCCATGACGAGTCGGGAAAAATCGGTCACGTGGTCGCTTGACGGCATGTTGTTTCCAAATGGATACGCACGGCTATGGGGGTAAGAAAGTGTACAATTAAATTATCATATGGCGCGAACGATTTGAGTTACATTTCTAGAAATCTAGATACACATAGACACATGTCTTAGCTATAATCTCTGTAAATGTTGAGTTTATTGAAGCACGATTAGTTTAATTAATTACTACGGACCATTGTACAGCGTATCCATACAGCGCTGTACTTAAGTAGATACAATAATGTAACCCCCTATCCTCTTGGGTTTGGGTTACATTATTGTATCTATACTTAAGCGGCAGCGGTGAGGATCTATTTGGAAACAAAATGGCGTCAAATCCTGAGTTGGCGCAACTCTCTGTATACAGGGACCCTAGCTGGTACTGTCTAATATGCCGGACCGTACCTCGCCTACTCCACTAACGAGTCTAGGGAGTCGCCTACACCTACTCCCTAACCCTAACCCTAACCCTAACCCTAACCATA